TGATCTCTTCTCCCTGGTATCCAGTGATAGGACGCGTGGGAATGGCTCAAAGCTGTGCGAGGGGAGGTTTAGACTGGACATTAGGAAGCATTTCTTTACCAAGAGGGTGGTCAAACACTGGAACAGGCTTCCTAGAGAGGTGGTCGTGTCCCAAACCCAACTGAAATAGTCTATTCTATTCTATAGGTGGCTGTAGCACACTGGCTCATTGGCTGATGTCTCATCCTTAAACTTGGGAGGTTTGTTTTCTCTTGTAGCTGTTCTCTCCTCACCTGTTAAAAGTGGTAATGTGGATGTTTTGCAGCGGTGCTCCATACCGTGGTATCTGACTCTCTCACCTGCATTAACATGTTTATCCTCCCAACCTGTTGGTGAGGTGTCAGTACTATTACCCTTGTTCTAAAAGCCTCAGAGAGGTTAAGTGACTTCCTCCATCTCATCCATGGGGTCCTCAGTCTGCTAAGCACAACTTCATCCTTACTCTCTCATGGATCTCCAAGACAGCCATCAGGTTACTTTTGGTTTCTCTGTTATGAGAGAATGTCTTTTTATTGGAATTTTTAAACAACTCCAAGGAAAATAACTCATTAACAGATGGGAAAATAATTGAATTCACAAAGTAAAAACTGAACTAAACTTAGGAAAGCTCTGGACATCTTTTCACAGGGGAGTCTGCTGCTTTCTTATTTAGACTGTTTCTCTAAAGCTGACAATTCATTTTACATTAGCAAATGCTTTAGGGAAATCCCATGTGCTTGCAGCCTCTGCAATAATAAAGCTAGATGTTAGTAAATAGTTAATGTTGTGGGACACTGGGATGTCAGCCAAATCCTCTCATTTTCTTTAATGTTTTCTAAGAGCTTGTCTGAAAGGTATTTGCAAGCAACACAATACTTCACAGATTGAACTTCTTATGGCTGGCACTCCTCTTTGTCCTCATTCTATGCACTGCCCGCTTGTCCTCCTTAAATTTGCTCCCCTGACCTGACATGTTAACAGTCACTGGCCCCAGAGCTTTATTTTTCTTGTGCAATCCTATGCAGAAGCCTATCGTCTTAAGAGATTAATAGAATTCCTCTTAAAAATGACTCTGCTAAAGTCCGTGCTCACTAGTTCATTAGTTCAAGAAACATTCAGTTCAGATATTGAATTATCCAAATTGCTGAAGCCAATATACCTGGTCCAAAAATTGAGACCTTCATCTCATTCAATGGAGACCTTCACTTAGTTCTCACCACCTGAATCCAAACCAAAATTGCCTTCCTGGTTTAAACCTCTCTCCTTGGACTGGCTTCACCATCTTTTTCTCCTGTCACAACATCCACCAACTATTGCCCGCACTCCCAGCTAATCTTGGCTTTCTCTTGTACTCTGCAGCTGGGGCCTGCTATCCCCTTCACAGGGTCTGGATCCTTTCTTCTTTTCCTCTAAGTCAATGTATCTTAACTTAAAGCTGCCTCTACTATTTCCAGTCTTGAAAACACACCCACCCCCACACCCACACCCACACCCACCAGTGCCATTTTACTTCACTAAAGTGAAGTGCTATGTATTTCTGCAGGTAGAACACATACAGCTCTTTAAATCTTGGCCTGAGAAGTTTAGGTTCAAGCACATTAAGCAACATATATAATATGCTAATCTCCATAATATACCTCATCCATAAAAAGATACGTGGCAATTTGCAGAGCTCAGAGCACTGAAAAACCTTGGAGCTCCTTACTAAGTAAGATAAGACAAATGTCTACCAAATTAAGCAACAAAACAAGTTGTTGCTTCACTCCATTTTCTGAATAAAGTTTGCGCTTCCCCACCACCGGTAGCGGACATTTATGAGTAGCCCGAGGGGCTTGTATTTAACAAGACATGCGTGCAAGAAGAAACAATACAGGGATCAGGCTTTAACTCCACATAACAGCAAAACTCAGTGATGCAGCATGGCATGAAGGTCTACCTGTGCTTGTCCGCCTGAGTGCAGCGGGGGGTGCGGCGAGGTCTGGTGATGTGCCGGGTGCGCGTGAAGGTGCGAGTGGGAGTGGTGGTGGGGATGATTCTGCTGGTGATGAGGCTGAGGATGAGGATGGTGCGCCGGATGCTGGTGCTGATGCGGGTATGAGTGATGAGGTGGCAGTGTCTGGTGCTGATGAGGATGTGAGTGCATATGATGGTGTGGCGTCTGGTCCTGCCGTGAGCTCATCATTTCCATCATGTGGCCCATGGTGTTCATATTCCCGTTCGACATGGCGGCAGGATGATGAGTCAGCGCTGCCTTCAGTCTCTGGAACAGAACAAGGCAGAAAATTCAACATTCATACATGACGATCCAAGCAATCAGAATAAGATTTCTGCTGTTGTAGAAACAGTGCCTTGTCCTGTGTTTTGAGATTTATTTAGTTTTTTTCTTGCTGTTCCCTTGATAAAAGGCATCTTATTTCAGTTTGAGAAAGAACATATTCTTGGGCTTTAATCTAGTTTTCCACTGTAAATATGTAAAGATATAAACATCTCAATTGAAATTTAACAGTTACACATTTCCTACTGTGCTGCTGAGGAAAAATAACTGGCTCTCATCCTTTTCTCTTTGGCCAGCTCAGTAGCGTTAGCTTCATCAAGCTTGTACTCTTGCAACTTTTAAAAAGGAAAGTCTGATTAAAATAAAGGTGAAACGAAGTTTCCCTCTTGGTTTTACTACAGATATTATTTAAAAGACTCATTGATAAATATATTGCATTGACCTGGTCAACCTTTTCATCAGAAAGACAGGAAAATAATGAGGGTAGCCTCAACCTGATCTTCTTTCTTTGCTGGAAAGTTCAAACATCTGCTGTGTTGTTATCGCATGCTAATCCCTCTCTATGTTTTGTACTCCTCATGTTTTGTACTGTCACTGGATTGGGCCCTGGAGTCCTGACCAGGGCAAAACTCTCCTTAATATCAATGGGATTCATTCAACTTTTACCTGAACACGACCAAAGGGCAATGGGAAGGGCTGCCACATTTTGAACTGCAGGATAGGGCCCTTGTGTACTAAAGCTACAGCTGAAATACAGAGAAAAAATGCAGGGCCATCCCAAAGCTGTGAGCCGTACTGGCATACAGGCATCTCACTGATGTCATCCTACCCTTGGACTACTGAAATCACCGGTGTCCTAGAAGAGTGTGCCAAAGGTAGAGCCTGACAGATATCATCTAGGAGAAGGGCTCCTTCCAAACCCATGGAAACCTCCTTCGCAGCCATGGTTCTGCGTCTTGCTCAATGTAGAACATTCTTTACAGGCAGCCACCCAAGACCTCTTTATATTTTTAAAGAAGTCAGTGTAAGCTTGGTTTACTCTCAATAATGCAAGTAATTAGTCAGCAGAAAATGGTAAGATAAAAATGGAAGGAAGGAGGTCCACGGTATCACTTGATGCCAGACTAGCATGATCTGAATAACCCATCAACTAGCTCAGAATTCATTATCCTGTCAGAGGATATAATGAATAGCAGATAGCTCATCAGTAAGAGATGCCACCTATAGGACAGCCAGCAAGAAACAGCAGTGGTACGAGGAACAGAGGTGTGCCTTTCCCCATAGCAGTTATCTGTGGGTCACAGATGACGGTCAGAAGATCCTACAAGCCAACATGGCTAAAATCTGCCAGTGGAGGAGCAATTACCAGATTGAACTGCATTTTGGTTTTGTCTTTAAAGCAAAGAGAGTGACTGCCAGGACACTCAGAACCTATAGACGGGAATTTCAATCTACTTTATATTGAAATAACATCTGTCTGTGCAACTCCACTGCAAGGCCACAGGTAAAGCCTCCTATGTTCAAAGCTGCTACCCTAATGTGTTTGTGCACCTGGGAGTGAGGAAGAAACAAATTCTTAAGGAGAAAAAAAAAGAAAAATATTAGAGAAAAAAGAGAAGGTTGTGGAAGGCAAAAAGAAGTAGCAGGGTCAATTCAAAGTATCATCCTCAAATTTTTATATCCCACATGTTTTTGCAGATTTAATGAAGGTCATTCCACCGAGACACTCTAATAGATCCATTAATCCAAATTTGGTGGCTTTTTTCACTAATGATCAATTGGCTGAACAAGACTTTAAAAAAAAGAAAAGATACATTTGCAAAACACATCAGTGCCTCAGTTTGCGTGAACGAAAACTAGACTGATGACTTCTAAGAAGTTTCCTTAAGAAAGCCTAGCAAACCATGACCGCATTACGGCATGTGTCACAACCTGACGATCGTCTCAAAAAGAGATCGAGGCAGCTATGGCAGCGAAGTTAAATACCTCCTTCCCTACCTCTAAAGTCAGAATGGAGCTCAATCTAACATCAATAGCAGTAACCCATCCTGGGTATAAAATGGAGGATTTGAGCAGCTGTCGTACTTAACGTTTCCGAATTCAAGCGCTACCCTGGTTACTGCAAGCAGCTCTTCACAATGCTCAGAATAATTGGTGTTACCCAGGAGTGTATTAGGAAAAATATGGAAAACAACACATGAATAAGTCAAGTCATTCTGCACGTCATTCTTCTTCAAAACTCGCTAAGACCTTTTTCATGGGGCTCAGCCACCACGCAGATCTAAGCCAATGCACCAACAAAAGCTGTCGTAACTTCGTTTTCTGAATCAAAATGCAAAAAAACCCAAGCTCTCATTAGCCAGAAGTTTTGTGTGATGAATACCTAACAAAATCTACCAATGCTATATTTGTCAAAGACCTCTGAAACTGAACTACAGCATGTCTTATTCTAAACTGCAGACTTTCAAAGCCAAAAAAAAAAAAAAGGAGGGAAAAACTTCATCTGCGAATAAACATTTTTTTTCAGCTGTAAAAACTGTGGCTTATTAGTGTGGCGCGACTTCAAGGAGAATAAATTATTTTGTTTTCTTTCCATAGCCCCTTCTACCACATCCATTTATTTGAGATAGCAAATCAAGAGAGACAGTGAGAGGTCTGACATGCAGCTGGTTTCAGTCAATAGGGGTCATTTCCATTTGGTCTGTGTATTTTACAAGCTCCTTGTTCACTGTTCCCAATGGGAGGGTGGGCCAGCTGCCCTGGATCCCAGTCCTGGTAAGAAACCAGCTCTCTACCTCATCCTGTCCCAGCGCAGCGACAGCCATCACCCGGCCCTCGCATCCCTTCAACTTCGTGCTTAGATCAGCTCCGCAGCAGCGAGAGCCCTGCCTGCACACGCACCCGGAGCAACATTTATCTTCCATTAACCAGTCGCTGCTGCCCATCAGAAACATTTGGGGAATGATAAACATTTTTTTTTTTTTCGTTTGGTCTTCAGCGAGATCAATTGTTTTGGATGTTTTAGTTAGAGCACAGGGAGGGAAAATCACCAGAACTTGGTGAACTCTTTGCGTTGAGTATGTGTAGAGCAGGAAGGGCAGGCTGCATTTTTGTTATTGTTCTTTTTATGTGCGCTAATTGCAAACAGCTGTTTTAGTTTAGTGTCAAATAAAAAGCGATGGCGTCAAAAACTGAGCTTACTGGACTGACTACATTAGCAAATCCCCTCTAGAATGAAACGATAACCCAGGACCTGATCCCGCGGCCATTCAGTTTTTCAGGAACTGTGTGACTGACTTCACCAGAGCCTGCGGGTACCTGGCAGTTCACAAATTGGGGCTGAAACAGAGGACTCACTACTCAGATCTGCTCTCACCAAAACCCAAAATTTCTGCTAACCTCTGTGGCAGGTTTTTTTAGGGCACAATCCCTCTTCTCTCCCTTTTATAGCACAATTTTCAAAAAAATCCCCACCAACCTCAAGCCAAGAGGAAATGCAGGTGCTCATCTTACCTGGCTTTTGGCCCTTACTGATTGTTTTTATTATTTCATCAAAGTAACATAGTGACCAGCATCAGTTACAGCTGATTTCCACTTGATCATGACATTCCCATTAATGGCTGTCAGTGACACAGACGACATGAGAAATCTTTCACAGAGAACAGCCTGCTTTGCCTCTGATCAAGTGAATAAAGAAAATTCCTTTTGATCCTACAGGAAGCCAGAAGCACATAAACTCTCATCTTTGTTGGTTAGGAGGAAATGGAAACAGCGGATATTAGTGCTCCACAGGTATGAGTGTTGTGTTCCCTGTGCTATTGCTCATGGTAATGCCCCTAACTGACACATTTACTCTGAAGCCACTTCATTGAATGTCATATGAAGTTAACAGCTCAAAGAAGTTATCATTGTACCTGGAATATTGGGTTTTTTGGAAACAGACAGTTTTCACAGTGCTTCCTCCATCTAAAGCCTGACATCATGGTGCAGTGAATTGCTTGATGTTTCCTTTTATCAACATAGATGGTAATTTATTCATTGAACATCTTTGGGCAAACCCTAAGTCTGCCAAAAATGGGCTACAAGCATTTGAGATCATGAATGAAAAATATTATCAGCTTCCCTAACACTTCTGCAGTTGAGGATCTTGCTGCTTTCTAATTTTTTCTCTATCATGACATGTATTTCAAGATTGCCTTGGGTTTTGCACCACCTTTCTTTCTCCAAAATTGCTAGTGAAAAACAGACAGCACTTTTTTCAGTTTGTTAGAAGAAGAAGAAAAAAAAGATAAATAAAACTGTAAATTTGGAGGTTGCTTTTCCCACAACTAAAAACTCAAATAATTTGGTTGTTTTCATATGTATATAAATATTTATAATATTTATAGCATGTTATATTTATAGTACAACAGGCTATAAATATTATATGCCATAATCCGTATATGACAATAAACTACAACTTTCTCCCATTTATTCCTCTGTGAAGAAATGCTAAAAGTCTCCTCCAATTTTACAGATGTTATTACCTGAGTGGTCTGTGCTTGCATCAAACAATAAGCTATTATATCATCCAGCTGAATTTTAGGTTGGGACAGACATGGAGTGCTGGTTTTGAATAGGATTGAATTGTTCTGAATTGTTCTGCATTGCTGCACTCAGAAAAAAACCTCTCTTCCCCTTCTGGTCTGCATGCCCAAATCCCACTAAATTAGAGAAGAGACAAGACCAGCTGTAGTATCAGCTTAATGTCTGGTATATTCTTATCAGGAGATTATATCAGACCCCTACAGGCAGACGGAATATGATCTCAAAGATATTTTCTTGCACTAGTCCCTATTATACAGGAGTGTAATAAGTTCCCCACAGGTGATAGAAGAGACTAGAGAGGGGTGGGAAATCAGAAAACAACACAGACATCAAGCATCCCCACACATCTCCAATTAGGTAGCAACCTCAGGGTAAAAATCTTGATTAGCCAAACTTCA